AATATCCAGCCGCGTTGTTCTGCAAGTTGAAAAAGGACAGAACTGATTTAACCGACCCTTATTTTATTTTCACTATGTCCTGCACGTTTCGCACATGCTCAGAATTTCTTGGCCGAAAACTGGAAATTTTAGTGCCGTCAGTCGCCGGTCAGCCAGTTGCAGCGCTACCTGCGCAACGCGGTAACAAGGACGCCCACATGATTGCCACCTCTCTTATTTTACTTACTCTATGGTGCACAGACTACATACTATTTAGACCTCCCACTCTTTTAGCACCGCTGGCAGCGCTCTTGCGGTCTGAGACACCTAGCTTTCAATTTGGCGCAATATTCAATTTTATTTTAGACTTTTTAGGGTTATGGGATAAAAAATACACTGGCAAAGCAATTGCATAAATATGTATTGATATTTGTACACTTATTACATACATTACACATTGGAAAATATAAGTCATAATAAATAAAATCGTTATTTAATAATGGTTTTTGGCGGACATTTGTCATCGTTATAAAGCAAGGTAAGAATAATCAGCTGAACATCTTTATAGCAGGTCAATTACAATTACAATTGATGATGACAACATGATCATCAGTTAACGATAACCTTTCTTAAAAGGTGCTACCTATTTGTCTTTAAATAAATTAGATGCTCATATAAATAAGAGCATCGGTACATACGTGTAACAAAGAACATTTCAGCAAACCGGATTTTCATCTTCAAGTTTTAATATCCATAGATAAAGATTTGGTTTTTACAGCTGCAACTTTCCTTTTCTGCTCCAACTCCACCATAGCTAGTAGCCGCAGCCAAGAATGCTGCTCATTAAACTACATTCAGCTTATTGGTTGAGCGTTTTTTGGTTAACTGGTTTCAAGAAGGCTGCTTCGAAATCTAAATGAGATGCATCTAAAACCTGAAATATAATCAGAAGGGTGGCTGCATTTGACACCCACTAAATTCTTCATACTGACCTTAAAATATAAAGTGCCTTTTTGCCTTATTAGCAATAACATCCACACTTATGTTCCATTTAAGATATTTGTTAAAATAAGCACTGAAATACTTCACTCATAATCTATACTCCGGGCTTGTCTTTATTTATGACTCCCGAGTATGACCATCAAATATGATCGATCGAAGAAATATTTCCTACCGCTATTGGAAAACCGACAAGGTTGTAAAAAGCACCAAATATAAAAGCCGACGAAACATCTGTGCATTGTGAATTCCTGTGAAGCAAATTAGAATCACTTAAGTAACCAATTTGTTTTGTTATTGGAAAAATATGGTTAAAATTTGCACAACATGACCAGTGTTGCCAGGTCAAGTACT